GCTTCTTCATTATAGATAGTTTAGTTTGATCCCAAAATATTGTTTTATGATCGAAAATGTTGGCGCAAATAACTATAAATTGGATTTTATAAATATTGAATGAATCCTCTTCTCGACCTTTGACACAGATCAATATATAATATCTATTCTTATCAGCTTAATATCACAATCGCTCTGTTTAGCAGATAAAAATTTAATAAACGTAAAAAGCATCATGTCGTAGATATTCGAATGAAGAGAAGAGCTAAGTGTTCAAACCATTTTTTGAAAAAAACATTATTGAGTAATGATAAAGCGTATAATATCTACTGAACTTTTGAAATTGCTACACTTTAACCGACAATAACTGTGTTATATCGAAACTGATCAAAAATATGCAAACTAACCCGAACTTACCCGTCTTTGTACTGCGTGCTAGTCCCCGTAAACCTATCTAATCGAGAATTACAAAATAATGCAAAACAACCCAAATTAACCCATTCTTGAAATGCATACTATTATCCTTGAATATTTTTATTTTATCTAGCTTGTCGCGCTTGGTTGTCGTTGTCAGGGTTGGACGAACTTTTGGGAGCGGGCCGGGAAATTTTAGTCTAGCGGCCCATACATTGATGGATTTATGGGGCACATCCCCATACTTAGGTGTGATCTAATAATATAATAACGACAGTGAAAAAACAATGTGTGGTATGAATAAAAACGAAGTGTCTGCTACTACTACAAGTAGGAGTATATTCTCGGTATTTACTTTAAAATGAAGTAGATACCTACTTACATTTCGAAACTACCGGAAATTAGTAAATCCTTCGTTGTGAAGTAAATACTTCGTAGAATATACTACCACTTGTGATAGTAGCAGGTACTTCGTTTTTATTCATACCACCCAATAAAATGCTGAATGAAAAGTAATGAAAACGCAGAATGGAAAATTTAAAAATAACTCTTATCTTGTTTTTATTATTTCAAAGATGATTTCAAACAATCAAAATGATATTTTTTTCTTTAATGGGGGGCTTAAGTTGAACATTTCCATAAGAATCTTCTCAAAAGTCAACAATCCTAAGATTTTGTTATGTAAGAGTATCATCAACGCATCCAAATTTTCCATTGTAAGTCGATCGATTCCTTAATCGATTTTTTATGCCTAAAGTGTTGAAATAGCTATTTATACAATAAGTTACGAAATGAGCGTCTTTCAGGCACGCGACGTGAAAATTGTCCAACGAGGCAAAGCCGAGTTGGACAACACGTCGAGTGACTAAAAGACATCGTTTCGTAACGTATTGTATACAAGATTTTTTCTACTGGCATTTTATAATAAAAAAACACAATTTTATTTTATGTGAATTAAGCCGATTACGCCCAAAATCTTTGTTAATACCTGTTTTTGCTTGACACCTGAGACCTCGCCTGACACTTTTCATGCGATTTTTTTTCCAAGATTCGATATCAATAACTAGAATCCTAGAAAGTAGGTAACAACACAAAGTTTTGTTTTGAGTAACCCAAACGTTCAATTCAATTATTACATTATTATTATTCATAATAAATACAAAACAAAATTCAAATCTGTGTTTAGTGTGTTTTTTGTTTCTGAACAATGAATGACACTTTTAGGCACTAGTGCTTAAAAATCACTTTTACGCACTTAAAAGTCACTTTTACGCATTCAAAAGTCACTTTTACGCACTGAGTGCTTAAAAGTAACTTTTACGCATTCAGTGCTTAAAAGATTATCGTTTCAAAATCAAAATGACAATCGAAAAGTTGCTATTATGAAACGTCAGTAGAAAAAGCATTTTTTCTACCACCGTGCGTGAAGTATTCACTTTACGAACTATTCAGAAGATGTAAAATTCCACTTCACGCACTAGTGCGTAAAGTAATTCACTTCACACGCAAGTGCGTAAAGTAATGTCAATGAGAGATTTTGACAACTGTCAATTTATTATTTTTCTGGTAAATTACTTCACGCACTAGTGCGTGAAGTATTTGTCTAAATCTATTTTTTAAACAAATTTGAGTGGTAGTAGAAAATTTTTTGTATGCAATACGTGCGTAAAGCTGTGATTTGCGATCCACGAGGTTTCTCGACGCTAGCATCGCTCGGTAGTCCGTGGTAAACGTCAAACGTAGAAGGAAGCTTCTGCTGTCGGCTCGTGCAATTTTGTAATCAAGTCAATAAAGTGAAGTCGATCGAAATATTGAATTGTTTGTTTTTTTTTAGTTAGTGGGTGAATGTGGTAGGGTAGGTATACAACGGTATATAATGATGTATCTATTTAATATTTTTTATGAGCTTATTCTTATTCTCTTCAAGATATTCTAAAATAAAAAATGTTGGTTTTCTGTTTTTGTCTTAAACAAGATGGCGTAGCCTAATCCTTTTTTCGAATATTATTATAGATATTTTTAATTGATCGAGGAGGCAGTGCATTCGTCACAGGACTTCTCCAAGTTTGTTTTGATTCAACCAACCTCCTATCTCATTACTGATCTCCCTATATAAGGCTCTTGTATTATTGTATTTATTGTTTATGCTCCTTTATAGATTTAATTTTTTTGATTTTTCATTTCCTATAAGAGTATTTTTTTCTTATAACGGGAATAACAATTTTCCATTTTTCTGTCCATATTTTATTTCTATAAAAAAATATTATTTTTTAATAAAATATGTGTATTGTTTAATTGTAGGTATTTGTGTTTTATTTTTACCCCATGAACATATTTACCCTACTAATGGCCGTTTGCACCGACCATTTTAAGGAAGCCTTAGCGATAAGTTTTCCTTAAAAGTGACATTTATCCACGTAAAAATGTTATTGGATACTTATCGCTAAGGCGTCCTTAAAATGATCGGTGCAAACGGCCATAATCAACTTTTTAACCATGAGGAACTGACTTTATTGTCACTGCAAAGTAATTTTATGGTCACACAAAAATACTTTATAGTAGCACCAAATTTACTTTGTAGCCACAATAAAGTTACTTTATTGTCATAAAAAAAACTGTATAGTCGTAGCAAAGTCACTTTATAGTCACAATAAAGTTACTTTATTGTAACGACAAAGATATCCTTTATAGTCACAACAAAGTAACTTTGCTGCCACGGGTAAGACGGTTCAATAAAGTTAACTCGATTACCACAGTTAAGAACTTGGCTGGAGCCTATTCTAAAAAAAAAATTAGCTGTGGTCGCTAAAAAATTGGCCAAGGGACATAAGGTAGATTTCTCAGTGTAGATATTCAAGATTTAAGTTCCATATATTCATATATTTTAACAATTTAGAAAATAAACCCGTAATTATAACCTTTACCTTAACTATTAAAAAAACCAGAAATGAAAAACTAAAAATTAAACATAGATAGCACAAAATTTACCTATAACAAAAGACTTTGTTTTAACAACAAAAAATTTTTCAAAAAAAACTTTACAATTCCTTTATAGTCTTTATCTACATGCGTGCGGTAACTAAAGAATATTACACGATTTTGCGTGCGGTAAGTACCATATTACCGCACGGCGTGCGGTAATATTATTACCGCACGCTCTACCTACATAGGTACGTACCTTCAATTACCTACCAGAGCTAAAGTATCTACCTATCACCTAAATTCTACTTGTCCACTGTCAAAGGTGACAGACACACTTTTTTTTATAATTTTTTAAACTTCTTTCGGATATTTTGTTACCGCACGCTTGTAGATAAAATACTGTATATAATTCGTATGGTAATTAGGTTATTACCGCCCTTAGAGATTGCAAACCTCGCCTCACCGGCTCGGTTTGCAAATTTCTCTCGCGTGCGGTAATAACCTAGTTACCACACTTATTATATAATATACTATTATACAAATTTCATACCTATCTATGCAGTTTTTATTTTAAATAATTCATTTACAAGTAAGTCACAATTTTGTAATTTTATAATTTTAACTTATATAATTTTAGCCCTGAAGAAGATACAAAAAAGTATCGAAAGCTTGGTTAGTAATAAAGAATTATTTTAGAAAAATAAACTTGTTTGGCTGCTTTATCCGCTATCTAAAGAAGTTAACCTAAGACTTAGGCAAAACAGTATATTTTCAACTAATCCCAGAAGCTGCGCTCCTGTAAACCGGCTATTGTCAGATTGCAATCGTATTTTAAGAGAAAATAGTATAGATATATTTAACACAAGTGTAAATGAAATAAGGAGAGTTCCTATTGCAAAGTGAATCGTGCGTAACATGGGTGTCTAGTGATATTATATTGTATGTCCATAGTCCATAGAATAAGTTCAAATCCTATTCAGAATGATTATGTTAGGTTGTTGTTATATGTGTCCTTTTTTTTTAGCATGATGTTGGCGGATTTTTGTTTTGTTTGAAATTTTGATTTTGTCATCCGTTACATGTAACTACTTTCTAAGTGTTTGCAAGGTCTACCTGTAAATAAATAAATAAATATACCCTAGCATTTTTGACCAGTTGAACAGGGACACCCTATATAAACGTGCAGGTGCAAAGAAAAAAAATTGAATCCTACAAATGCATTCCAAAATAATAAAAGTGGTTTGAAATTCGAGCTAAACCATTGGCTAAAACTAACAACAGACTTGAGGATTCTGCCCGAGAAATGTGAAAACCATTAAAGTTTCTTGCCTATTAAAACTCTAATTATTTTCCTAAATCGTCAGTAAAAATATTGAGTTTCACCGCAATGATATCACACCGTCGCCGGCCGGTCGCGCTTTATCAAAATAATTAATTTTATCTTCATTTAAACAATGCAATTGCATGTTGCTTAATCTTGTAGCTATCGCGCTTTTTTTGAAGTTAAATAAGGATAAACAATGACCAATCAGACAACGGGCAAGCAGTCAGGTCTCGGATGGGATCAGAGCATTCAGGGTTACGGTACTGATGGGTACCAAAGTCAAGAAGTTTGCTATAGATGTTTCGCTCATTCGCTGTTTAGTTACTAGTTGCAATTCGACAAGGTTCACACATTAGCAGCTCTTATCTCTAATAAGTGAAGTGACCCAAAGCAAAGTTTCCCAAAGTTAGTTATTCTGGTTCTCCGACAAAAAAATATAATAATCATGGCACCAATGAGAAAAATTATAACTGTAAGTAACATAAGCATCCAATACAGGGTGTCATTGAAATGGTTTAACAAATTTTGGGGATTGATAGTATCAAAGAATTAGCAACTTTTCGATTATTATTTTAGTTTTTAAACGACATTCTTTCACTAGTGTCTATCTAGTAGGGCGAGGCCAGACGGAAGCTCCCGAATGTTAACGAATCGAACCGAATTTTAAAATTTGCCGCGAATCAAAACTTCATCGTACCTATATTGATTTTGATTTGAAAGCTAGGCAAAAGTTTAAAAATAATTGATTTTTTTTTTAATTGGTAATTTGACTTATTTTTTCTACACGATGTACCTTTTTTTTTCCTTTAAATATGAATTTTTTTTGTTGACAATTTATTTTTTCTTTTAGCGCGACCAAAGTAGCTAATTTGCGCACTCATTCTAGTTTCGTATAAATACGGTATTCAAACGCGATTTTTCAATGTTTTCACGGTTCCTGAAAGGTCTTGAAAAATTCTTTTAATGGTACGGTACAAGCTAACATTCGATGTAATAATTGTCAGCTTTTCAAAAAACCATCGAAATGTGAATTGAATTGCTGACTAGTAATTCAATATAAACATTCAAAAACATTATTATTACGATCGCAGCTTTAATGTTGAGGCTTAAACATTTAGGGCCTGCATTATTTTTCGCCTCGCCCTAGACACTAATCACTTTTTTAAGCACTCATAGTGCGTAAAAGTGATTTTTAAGCACTGCTCTGTCTAAAAGTGACATTCATTGTTCAGAAATAAAAAAACACACTAAATACAAATTTGAATTTTATTCATTTATTATAGATATTAAAAATACCGACAATTATTTGATTGAATGAATGTTTGGGTTACTCAAAACAGAACTTTGTACGACTTCAATTAATATTGATGCCGAATCAAAAAAAAAACTCGCATGAGGTGTCCCATCAAATTTTTTTACGCCATTTCAATGACACCCTAGGTATATAACCTTTTCAGCTTTTCTCGGTTATCACGTCTCACGTCTTACAATAAATTTTTAATTATATTAACCTTGGCGATATACCTCCAAGTCCGATATGTTCAAGAAATAACCCAGTAGGTACCAAAAAACTTTAACCAAAGTTTCCAGTACGTGCCGCATTGGCATTATTATCGGCAACAGTAGAATCAGCGAAATATTTAGGTTTTGACTCATGCCTTTCTTCGAACAAAAACAAATAAATTTTAGTACTTTATTTATCAGCGTTTTATATTTATACACAGTGGCACACATACCTGTAACTTTATTAAACAGCGTATTTTTCATATAGTGGTATTAAATCATTGCCGATATGGTAGGTATGTTTAATGTGTTAGTTTTTTTCACTGTTGCATCCTTGACGACGCTCTGCTTTTCTGTTAAGTGTTCAGAATATTCATAAATATTTGAAAATCTCAGTACAATCAGTACAGGGGCAATTTCTAGAAATATGAACATATTTAAGAATTGTATACGATTGGTATGGTATCGTATCGAGCTTGCTTGCAACTTGTCTTTTCTGGACTTGTTTGTATCAAAAATCACTTCACGTACCTAGGTATTTACTTTGTTTTTTGTTCATTTAGAATCAATCCATTTAGATCAAATACCATAATTCTTATATACCTAAATATATGTAGTTTTAGAACGTCTTTCTTCGTTGTCCGACACTTAATTTCCATCCTCTTCTATCGTCGCAATCCTCTAATGAGAGATTTCTTTCACTCATGGACTTTTACATGGTCTTTCAGTCCAGTTTTGGTCTTTCTCGTTTCCTTCTACTGGTTGATTGCCAATGCAGCATTTTTCTGGGCCACCTGGTATTTGGCATTCGTTCTACGCGTCTGTACCACGTAAGTTTTTTCCTTTCAATGCCCTGAACTATCGTGCCTTCTATTCTATTCCCATTTGTTGTTTTATATGGTAGTTCATTATTTTCTCTCTTGGTGAGATACGTAAGGATCTTCTAATAGCATCCATTTCAACTGCTTCTACTTTCTTCTTTTGTCTGTAATTCTCCAAGTCTCGTTTCCATATAGAAGGCAGCTCTTTACTATCATTGGTCACGTTCACCAGCACTTAACATGTTGAGTGATTAGTAAGTGGCTTTGTTCCAACAAGTGAAATACTCAAGGTAGAACAGTTTTGATTGGCCTAGAGCTGATTTTCAACAAAGCCGCTGACTAATCACTCAACATGTTGAGTCGCGACCATGGTCTCGTATATGTACAGGGTGTCACGAAAGGTTTATTACAAACTTCTAGGGATGGTAGATCTCGTAAAAATAAAGCTTTTTTCTCAATAAACATTTCAATAAAAATTGGCCTTTTTTTACAAAGTTTAATACCCTGTATCTGGAAAGCGAAGCATTTCCGGACATATGTTTATCAAAAAAAAAAAACTTAATTTTTACAAGGTCTACCATCCCTAGAAGTTTGTAACAAACCTTTCGTGACACCCTGTATATTGAAGATTCCATTTAGGCATCCTGCCAGCTTTAACTTCTCGCTTTATTTCTATTTCTTTCACATCTGTTTCGGTGTTTTCGAATGTGATGGTACCTAGATACTCATATTCCTGACATTGCAGAATTTCCTTCCACTTCTAAGTTTCCGTTCTGGCTGCCTACACATAGATATTTTGTTTTATTTATATTGCCTCAGTCTCAGGCCCCATTCTTGTATCAGCGTTCTATTCCTATATATCTATATTCACTATGATCTGATCATGTGCAAACTGAAGAGTAAACAGGCACCTATCCATTTATCTCTATACCCATTCCATGAATCTTCCTATTCATATTTTTCAGTGCTACTGCTCAAGGACGTATTTAAGGGGGGGGGGGGGGGGTTTTGGGGGTTCAAACCCCCCCCCCCATTGAACTGAATAATTTTTTTTTTTTTTAAAGAAAAATAAACGTTTTTGGGCGTGGAATAAAATCCGAAAAAATTTTTCGCCTTCGGCGATATCCTCCGCCGACTATGCCAATGTAGGGTTGTCACCTCTCCGGGTTTCACCCGGAGTCTACGGGTTTTCGCATATGGTCTCCGGGCTACGGATTACTAGATGTTTTCTCCGGGTTAGCAACAGCGCAATCCTGTTTCTCCCGGAAAAATTCTCCGAAACGCACGCGTTGTCGTTACCTACGGTCTCCCTCAAGGATAATATACACTGCTACAGGATTGCTATCGGCCTTGATTTTTGGAATCAAAGACATATGGTGTTGCACCCTTGGGGACGTCATCAACGGTGTCGTTAACTGTTTGCGTCAGCGGTCGTAGTTTAGAATATACATTTATGATGAAAAATATTATTTAGTTTTAATTAACATAATAGGCAACGAGGAAGATGCAGACGAGATCTGAAAAGGCTTCTTTTAAAATGTTAATTAATGTACTAATGTACTAGCACAAGTATGCATAAAGCAAAAGCCAGGGGGATGATAGCCTGTGGTGCAAACACCCTACGTCGAAACGAGAATCGACCCGATTCCTACGTCATAAGTGGTACTTTGGCGTGGTGCAGTGGGGGCTTGAGATTTGATCTACACAGGCCTTATGAGGATAGGCTATCCTGTGTAGTGTGTAGTATCCTTGGATCTCCCTCTAAAATCGTCTCAACTAATCCAAACTAACCCAACATCAAGCAACATCCGGAGATGCCGGAGGAGATTTGTGTATAGATATATAGTATGTATAGTGTAATGCATCTGTTATCAGATTTGTAAGATTTTTGTTTCTCATTTTTCTTTCAATGAACTTTTTTTTTTCCGTTTCAACTTATTTTCAAAGTTGGTATCCCTATATGCCAGGTACATCGTCTGATCTAAATTTGAAACCCTTTCCAGACCACGAGCCGCCACTGCTCTAAACCCCCCCCCCCCCCCCCATGAGAAAGCTACGTCGTTGCTACTGCTACGTATATTTTGAAAAGCGTAGGAGAGATACAACATCCTTGACATAGTCCCTTATTCACTATTCACTATAAGAAGTGTCTGTGAGTTTTTTACCTATCTTAATTCTTGATTTTGAGTCTTTACGTAGTTCTTTAAGGGCCGTTATATAGGTGTGATAGATGTTGGATTGTTCTAATTAATACCTTCCATAATCTGGATACTGTATCGTATTTTGTAGGTCCACAAATGTGAGGTGGGTTTTCACCTGTCTAGCAGATCTCCTTTCCAGGACTTGTTTTAGCCAACATACGTTGTCTGTACCTGATCTTCGTACTCTTAAGCCGCACTGCTTTTGTTCTTCTTTCTCTTTAAAATCTTCTTCAATGAGATCACGTAGGATTCTACCGTAAAGTCTGCTTAGCGTGCTCGTGACTGATATGCCTCGATAGTTATTGCATTCCAGCTTATTTTCATTTTTGTGAATGAATGATATAAAAGCCGTTTTCCAGTCTTGTGGATGTCCATTTAGGCATTTATTGATAATACATGTGAGATCTTTTAAAGAGCTTCTCAGTTCCTTATTTCGGCATTTCGGAGTATGGGCCACTAGCTTTACCTGACTTAAGATTCTTAACAGTCTTTTTTACTGTTTTTTCAAAAATCTCAACTAGTTCTCCATGTCTTGGAAAATCTAATATACAGGGTTGTCGTTATGTATGTGTTATACTTTTTGTTTTATGAATTTTTGTTATTCAATTAAAACAAAAATAGTTTTACTTGCTTATTTATTTTCTGACTGCCAGCCCGCAGGTCTCTCACCACCGAGTACCAATAACATTTAACAATGCATTGAATGAACGTACATCCCTCTTTCACAAGATAAATAGAAATAATATAAATTCTAATATTGCTAATCATTTGTTTTAGTACCATTATTTAGATTGGTTCAGACCTGGAGGGGGTCTGGAAATCCTACCTGAAGAAGTGACAGTAACTTTTTTAAGACTTTTTCTCTCCAGATCTGAGTCCTCAGATAAACTGCTTCCATCGCTTGCTAAACTACTTGTACACTCTTGGTAATGTTCACCAGAGTCACT